GGGACAGGGGGAAGGAATCAAGAAGTGGCGCTCAGGGGTTTTTTTTCAGATAAACTCCCTGACCTCATGCATTTATTTGTCAAAACCCAGAGGGCCACACAACATGAAGAGCGAGGCAGACTGTAAACGAGAGACTTAAGTTCATAATCATGTATTAGTATTGCGGTAGTTACACAATTTCATGTCTACGTGATAAAAGAATGAAGGGGCGGAGTCTAGCCTGTCAATCAGGTCACAGCTTGATGATCCCTCCTTGATGGCCTTCCCATGAGGATTCTGGGAACTTCCTCTCTCTTGATTCTGTCATCAGAAGAGGCAGACCACACATATTCTTTCTGCTTCACTTTCCTGTTGACAAGCCACATGGAGCCATGCTGATGGCAGCCAGAGCTCTGGAGATGTGTCCACCACCATTGGATCCACAGGGCTTTCCAATCACCAGCCTGTGATATTACTGCGTTCAACATCATTGCATGTGCTGCGTGAATCTGAAGAGGCATCTATAGACTAGCATTAGACATATGGGATTATATCGGTCTTAAAGACTTGGTCTGGACTGGGCTGGTATGTTTGCTTAATATACAATTACTCTTTGATATAAAGTTCTTTCTTATACATACGAGTGTCTCTGGATTTGTTTCTCTAGTCAACCTGGACTAACACAAGTATGCTTTCATTACCTGTAACAAATGTACTATCTGACACATGATTTATTAGTAGAAGCTATAGCAGGGAGAGGGACTATATGGGAACTTTGTACTTTCTGGGCAATTTAGCTCTAAGAATAGAAAAAAACATATGTTATGAGATTTGATGGTTTTCTTCATTCCCTGAAAATCTGGAAAACACCTTGTAAAGTTCAGCTCAAGAGGAGCTTCTTGCCAGAAGCCTTGTCCAACAGGCACCTTGCTCACAGGGAGCCAGTGATTCTGTCTCCTTTATGCCCTGCCAAAATTTCCTAGCCTGGTGAGTTAGTTAATTGTGCCAGCCTGGCCGATAATCACATGTGGTGCTGGTTGAAAGGCGGAGGGATAAATGGGTGGTGAAGCCTCGCCTTTCTAGTTCTCGGGTCTCTTGTTTTGTGATGGTTGTATCGGGTGCAGCTGCCTTAGCAGTTCCCTGCTTCAGCTTGCAAGATGGACTTCCTACAAGACATCCCCAAGGAGAAGCCGCATGGATCTATCCCGATGCAGCCCTGGGTGCTGGAGCAGCCGTGTGGAGACCCCTGCCAGTGCTGAGATGCTTACACGTTCACGGACTCAGCTTTCCTCCTGCAGTCGGCATCATTGCCTCTGTTTTGTGAGGTGGAGGACTTTGTGGACTGGTGTTGGGTTAATGGGTTAATGTTGGACTTGTGGGCTTGGGCAGCATTGGGTTGGGATGTTTTGGTGATGCACCTTTTCTTTACGTAAAACTCTCTCTTATAGGTGAGTCGCCGTGGATTTGTTTCTCCAAAGTACCTAGACTATTACACCTGGTTAATGCTCCGGCTTGCTTGCATGCTGCTCGGCCCCTCTGGAAAAAACGATGTATCTTCTTTGTGTCCAAAATACTGTATGCCTTCACTCTATTGCGTGTGTCTAGCACCCAGCTTATAGAGGGTCCAAGAAACTTGCTGCCTGAATGAATGGAAGTCAAGGAGAAATGCCAACACCCTGAATTCAGTCTCCTAGCTGCCCAAACTGGGAGCTCTTTAAAGGGACCTTCTTTTTGGTGTTTGTTCGGAAAGCCCCAGGTATGGAAGACAATGCTCCTGAAGGGCTCTGCATTCTTTAGGGGGTAGAGTGGTTGTAAGGGGGCAGGCAGATAGACACTGCTCAGTCGCATCAGAAGGGATCGGGAGCAAAGACACTAAGAGGAGCATCTTAAGTATTGGGGGAGTTTGGAGCCTGAAGAAGAGCCTTCTGTTCCTGGAACAGGAACATCAAAACATGTGAATCCCCTTTAAGACTCACCCTTGACATACGCAGCCGAACCCCCACTGCCAGGCCATCTCTGGGAAAACCAGCAGCAGCTCTGGGAAGAGCACTTTGGAGGAATCCTGGTTTGAACCCTACCTTCCCACATCGTCCTCTGACCTGTCCCTTCTCTGTGGGCGCTTATTCTGACCTATGCCACCATCGCTCACCTAAATTCTTTCCAGAGAACCAGGGACTACCACCCAGAAGCCTCCCTCCTCTCCCTAGCCAATTGGTCAAAAGACATTTGCTTTGGTGTCACCCACCGGTTAATCTGTTCATTCATTCATTTAAATGGAATTTCTTGGGATGGTTGGGGGGAAAGGGGAAGGGCAGACAATGTTTAAGGGGACACTAAACTCCTGTTAAGGGTGGTGGGAGAAAAACCCCTCAGAAATGGCGAGGTTGGCTAGCAGGATGAAGATATTGACTGTCTGTCACTGAATTACACATGTGAAGATGGTTGAAATGCCTTGTTCCTGAAATATTCACCACGATAAGAAAAACAAGTTCACAAACGAAGAACGGGCAGACCACCAATTCGACTACGGAGTTCTGGGAATACAGAGGTGGGATATCAGCACTTTTGGGAAAAGCCTGATGATTTCCTCCTGATTAAGGTACCAGGAACTCAGTGAAAGGGATTGGAATGGGCAGGCCAGTGCCAATGCCTAGAGGCAAGAAAAGAGTAGGAGGTGTGTATTGGCAACTCACTGCTTTCCCATAGATGTGCCATCTTAATCCACCAACTCCGTCATCCAAAGATTTCCTATTGGGGTGTGTGTGTGTGGGGGGGGGGATGGACAGGGGAGCAAGCAAACAAAAGCACCCTCCATTACACATCTAGAGACTTGTCCTTAAAGGAGCTTCCTCCTGGAAATAAGGACTGGGCACCTTCGACGTAAAGGTACGAAGCTATTCCAGCACCCGGGGCCCTTGCAGGAGAGTGTTCTATCCACGGAAGAGTGCCAACCATGAGTACGCAGTTCCAGGAGGGCCAGGACTGGGCAGTGAGACCTCTGCTGTTTCTGACCTGCTAAGGACTCCTCCTCACTCTCACCACTCTTAGGCCACCTGGTGGTCTTCTCCGCAGACCTGCCCCTGGGCTCTCTGCACTCCCGCAGAGCACCTATCTCCCTTGCCCAAGGCTTCCGCCCGTTTCCACCCAAAGTCATTAAGCACAGCCAAGCCTGGCAGTGCGCGGCTCCACAAGGCGGACCCCGGGGGGCTGCGGCCATTTCCCTTCTCACCTGCCACCGAGCCCACCTCAGAGAAGCTCGAGAGGGCAAACCCCGGGGAGGTCCTGCTGGCTGGAGGGCGAGCCTTCCTGCTGAGAGGGCAATTCCTGAACCAGAAGGAGCGCCCCAGCGGATGGCCACTTTTGCACGAGTGGGCGCAGTCTGATGGCTCAGGGGACCTCTCTTCCGCAGCCCCACCTTCACCTCCACCACCTCCTTTCTGCACCTGGGGCGGAGGGCAAGACTGGAGGGAAGCTCTGAAACCCGGGGTCACTTCGAGCTCCCCTCTGCAGCCCGTCCAGCCCACCCCCTCCCCGGGCACTGCTCGGACCCTGAGGACACTGCGTGCTCCTGCGGAAGCCCGCCCTGACCCTGGGGACGTGGCGCGGTCCCTGCCGCAGAGTGCCTTGATCCCGAAGATACTGCACGCTCCCTGCTACAGCCTGCCCAGATCCCAGGGGACACTGCAGTCACCCTCCGCATCAGCCCACCTTGAACTCGAGGGACACAGCGTGCACCCCCCCCTCCCCCACTGCAGCCCGCCCTAACCACTGGAGACACTGAGGGCACGCGC